AGGAGGAAGCTTCTGACGTGGATTAAATCTGTTTAGGGTACGGCCCGCAATTATAGAAAGAGCCAAACGATTGCTTTTTCCTGTCTCTAACGAAAAACGTTGATAATAGCCCGCTCTGGATGTGTGGAAGTTTTGTTAGCGGCCGGAGAACGGGGACTTTACTTCCCACACGCCGCGCGCGCCGAGTGGCCGCTAGAACACGTATTTCGCTCCTGCGTGAACAAAGATTCAGGATGCGAGCATAAATTGATTGCAACGCGAAGATGTAGATAGCCAGGGCACATCATTGTTGGGAATTCCCAAACAGAGAGGCTTTTTGGTCGCTCGGCGGGGGGGGGGAGGGGGCAGTCTTAGGGCGCAGCAATATGGGTCGCTGAGAAGAGGACCTTAGTTGACGCTCTCTGTTTTCAGCGGACGGAATGAGGGGCAAGGGTTACCTGCTCAGCAGGGGGGGGGCGGCTGGAAAGCGAATGGTTTGAAGCTTATCTCATCTAGCGGGAGAGAAAGTGCGGCCAATTGACAGAAACTTTTTAACCCGGGTGTTAACTTTTCTTAGGTTTTTCCATGTTCCAGCATTAATATAGCCGAGCGCCCTTTCTCGATAGCTGTCGAGTCGCAATCAGAGGAAGGTACTAGGGCCGGGAAGGGTGTTGCAATCAAAAACTAGCCCTTAATCGGGGGCGGGAGGATGTGCCCTGTGTACTGTGGCAACTTGAGATACTACACTGAGGCAACGTCTTGGCAGTGTTGAGGACAGGGTTTGGGAGGCGACGGCCAGCGTAGTGCGTTGAAGTTCCTCAGTGGGGGAATCGTATTTGGTCGGTGGGGGGGGAAAGGTTTGGTCGTATGTCCCTCAGAAAAAAGTTCAGAAAAATGCTTCCGGTTGCTGATTTTTCTCGGTTTGTCCACTTAAACAGCGCTATAAACCCCTCTGCAGAGACGAAATCTGAGAACGCAGAATACAACATGGCCCAATTTCTCGCCTTCTCGGAGGCCAATCCGACCCTCTTTTCTCCTCAACAATTTACCAACAATGTGAATACCGCTTGTGAAACAAGAAAAATCAACTATAAAAAATTTTTTTTAATTTATTTGATAATTGATTTTTTTAAAATTTGAGGGGTGCTGGAAGAAGGGGGAGGGGTGGTACTTTGCAATTTTTTCCTAATTCCAGGATATGTATGCCCTGCTTGAAGAATACATACTGAGCAATGATTTCTTTCACAAACACTTGCAATAACTGAATCTCCGTGATCCCCAATTCAGCAGTCTCGTTGACAGCTGGATTCGAATTTCTCGAAAGGCCGGGTCTCCCTCAAACCACGAAACCACTTCAACACTAGATTACATTTCGCTAATAAAGTTATGAAATTTCCAGAGTTTTTATGGTAGAACAATTTATTCACCTGCCCAGTGATTTTCGACGTCATCATTCAAACATTAGGCAGCTGAAATGGATTTCGAATTCAGGACGTGTTTTTCAATGAGCGGTCACAGTGGACTGTTCATATGTGAAATACCACATGAAGGTTAGCCCCAAGTTGTACGCAAGATAAACTACCCAATGGCACTGCTATTATGGTTAAAGCAGCCTTACGATACGTAGAACATTCCAGCTCATCTACCAGGGGTCAGCCGTGTAGTAGTATTGTTCGGCTTGGTAGGGAAATTTTGCTCTAGCGCTAGTACCCTTTGGTAGTTCATTATAGTGAACGCGTCTCATGGTTATACGTGGAGGCGAAATGGTAAAAGTGAGCCACATCGGCTACAGGAATGTAAAGATCTGCGCGAGGTAGCCCGAGCGGGCTCGTTGACCAGCATTTGTTGCCCCCACCAAGTCGAACTGGTTACTCTGAATTTTCGATGTTGCTTTATTTCACTGACTCCAGAGGTTACCCCGTTTCATCTGAACGGATGACTTTGGGCTGAACAAGACTTCCCAAAGAGAGCCAAACCTTCAGGCAGGAGATTTCCACACACGTCTTGAAGGGAACATAATAAAGCAATAAAAATCTTTAATGTTGACAAAAGGTCCCGGAAGCGTGCACTGCTATCTGAAGGCAATGAGAGTCGTCTTGGCGAGGGCTCCATGCGTTTCTGCCTCTCTTCCGCCTGAGCCCTCGCACCCGCAGCGCCATCAGATATGCACACTACTGCCACGCGCGGGTAACCCGCGGAAGGACTGCTGACTCTGGTCCGACAGTTACAACATGCACCCGTAATTCTTTTAGAGCACTTTTTACTCTGAGCTGGCTCGTTAGCGTGACCCATCACAGGCACCTCTTTCGCTCCCGCATAATAAACAACTGAAGTACCAGTAGCACGCTGAGACTTCCGTTCGCTCAAAGTAAAACGTTTTCAGGATCTCGCGGAAACTGAGAGCTAAGGGAGACTTCAAAGGACTTGACAGGTATGCATATATTCCATTTTGCACTCCCTGCCCTAACAGCAGTTATGCAAATACACTTTGTTTAGTGAGAAAAAAAGAATTGATGATCACGCCCAATCAATTCGAATTTTCAAGGAAACAGTACAAGTGGCTTATTCGAGTAAATATAAAAGTAGCCTAGTTATCATGAAACTGTATCATTTCTATTTGTACCTCAATGTATCTTTATTTGTACCCCAGTGTATCTTAAAATGTATTTCGCTTCATGATTTGCATCAAAACGTCGATCTGGCTGGATATTCGTCACTGTGGGCAACTATCCCCTTGCGGGTAGTCTAACCCTCAGACAGGGTACAGCATCGTTGTGTGAAACACTACGGGGGTCGTACTTTTCCTCTGGGAAGGGGGGATCGTATTTGTCGTTGGGAGAGGGGGTCGTATGTGCGTTTGAGAGAAATTTGCTGCGTTGGGAAAAATTTTTTTGCGGTTGTTGACTTTTCGCGTGATTTTGCCTGTTTCATGTGTACTATGCTCCCTTGATGGAGGAATTTTTGGGGTGAAAAACTGGACTGAAAAATGTGGAAAATCGGTGGGTAGGTGTTTGGGGAAGTGGGGATATGGGTCATACCGAGACCCCCCCCCCTCATTTAGGTGGTGGGGAGAGTCGCACCTACACCTTCCCTTGGAGAGGTGGGGGCATACCTACAGTATCATATCACGATGCTGTACCCTTCCCCCTGAGCGCAAAGATCTCTCCTGTCAGGCGTAAAAAAGTGCCCCTCAGGTTACAAATTCACTAAAAATTTGGGGGCAAAGATGGTCCAGGTCCCTTAAGCGCAAAAATGGCAACCGTCGTAAGAAGCGGCCAATTCCTGAAGAGCGAGCGCAGGGCATCTTCGTGCTGAATATATACTTTGATGATTGCGCTCGGGGTAACAACTTCGCCAACTTTACCCTGAGCTCAAACTGTGGAACAACGTCCAGATTTCGAAGCGTTGGGCGGTAAAGGGCAAATGTGTATTTTCACATTTCTTGTACTCATGTATTGACTTTACACAAGGTTTCACATAAAGTACAAGAGAACTCTCGGGCTTTCTCAGGGTTCGATAGATTAAAAAACGTGAAGAAAAACGAAAGACACATCGCCGACACTGATATCGTCGAAACAGTGGGGGCGGTTTCAACAGGCATGAAGTGAGTCCCGCAGCGTTCACCATTGGTTGTTTCTCCTTTTGAATGTACACTAACCGATCACTATTGATAGAAAAGAAGCCAGGCCATTTCGCCCCTCCTGACACCGCCCCGACTGACTGCGACGATACTAACTATGTTAGGTTACTGTTCACACAAAAACGCTTACCAGGAGCGTCTTCACCGCAGATGATCTTCTGTTTTGCCTGCTGATACTGGTGGAGTTGCGCTTTGTACGCTAGAGACTCATCGCCTTTGTCACCCTGAAATAATCAGTGATAGACTGCCTCATCAGCAAAAATCTCTGAAGTCAATAGAGATATTTCAAGGGGGTGGAGACACAAGTGGACGTCCCTGGAGGGCAGTTCCCAGCCATTTGTATATGGAAAGCTAACATCCACTAATTCCCCAATAAATGTTGCTTTTCTCCACAACCACAATCCATTTTTTTGTCCCTCTACATCTTTCCGAGAGCTTTTTCGCTTCGTTCTAGGAAATCCGTACCTCCGG